TTCTATGATCTTGCCAGAAGGTACTTGGAAATTGTTTTGTTAAATATCAAAAACTATACCCCATCATTTCACTGCGTAAGGGAAGCTAACCTGAATACAGATGACTGAATTAACATGCCTTTCAGCATTCTTCACAGCCATGTGACGTCGATACGCTCTTTGAATTCTAAGAGCGGACAGGTGGTAATAGGCAGCAGCTGTGAAGTGAAGGAGCCTAGTTCTGGCTCTCTGTTCTGAAATCTAAAGGAGAAAAAAAAAATTAACCACCAAATATGTGACTCTTAAGGCCTTCAATCAATGTTTACTTCTGTATATTCTCAATAGCAAATTATATAAATTAGTAATAATTAACTTTTAATTATTAAAATTCTTTACATGGTAACTGAATGTTTATAATCCTTTATTATACAATATTTCCAATTTTGTAATCCATAACTCAGGGTATAAAAGCAAATTTATATTTTGGGCACTTTACTAAAGAATAATAGCACTTAATTTAACCCAATAACAGCTAGTTAAGGCTTTAAATGTGCTAGTTGTAACAACAGAAGTATATGAATAGTAAGCTCAAAAAAGGTTACAGTATTCCAAGCAAAACTGTTGGAGGTGATGATATTAAATCAGACAAAAGTACTTGAATTGATTTCTCCAGTATTAGTCTAGCAAAGGTCCAGCGCAAGACTCTTGGAGCAGAAGTCTCCTCCAATTTATATTTAATGAAGAAAATACAAAATATTTCTCCAATTGAGCTTCAAATTTAATTAGTTTGTCTTTGCCAGAGTTTCATGTATTGGATGCCCAAAACATCACGAACATCCTAGGAAGGGCTCTGTCGGGCTGCAGACGTGGAAGTTGTCACAGGAATGGCAGCGACAACGCCTCAGAGCTGCTTGGTGGTAGCAGAAGGCCACTGGAACCACCATCTCCTGCACACATGGAGCCCTCCTCCCCTCAGAATTCTTCCAGTTCCTTTGTTAAGATTCATTACACAAGAGAAAGTTTACTGTGCATTTCTGGTGGGCATCTATGGGAAATAGGCCGATAGAACAAAACTCGACAGCAACTAGTAATCTGGGTACATGGCGCCACAGAAGCTGAGTTAAGTTCAAGGTAAAGGTTATATTTGTTCTGAAATTATTACCCCAAATCTAAAATTTCTTAACACCATTTAACATCAAATACCCGAATTTCCTAAGATGAGATATTCTACTTAAACGTACTTACTCTTTTTCTCACTAACCAACCCCGCACCAGTGCTTGTAGAGCAACTGTAGATTTTTTTAATTCAAAAAATGTTGTCCTTTCCGACTTCCCAGACGTCCCAGCTCGGACATCTCTCCGTACGGTCGCAGCAGCAGACTCCTGCCGACGGGGGAGCTGCCTTGCTTTACAGCCTCTAAAATGTGCTTGGACCGAACAAGCAGCTCGATGCCTCTAAAGGGAAAACATTGCAAGTGGCTGAATAGACAGAAATGATCATTTCAATCCGCTCGGGGTTCTTGAATTTCTCAATGTAGAGTGAAATGGCATCATTATGGTATGATAATTATAAAAAATTACATTTTTAGCTGAAGAATGTCATATTGCATANGAATAATAACCTTTAAAAATTTTATAAATGAAACTATGATAGTTTTATTTTCATTTTCAATTTTACTTCAGAGCCACACACACTCGTGTGCTGCAGTTTGCTGATCCCTGGTGGTTCTTCCGTCTCAAAAATCTGCCGACCCCTGGGCTAGAGTGATGTGAAAACAAAGCAACTGATTAGCACTCACAGAAGCTCGACTTGTTGTCTTCAGTAAAACAGCTAGCAAACAACAAGTTTTGGTGAAAATGCTTCCACTCTTGTCTGCAACCTTGTCACCAGGCTTTTCTCGGTACATCTGTAAAAGCTCCAACAGCGTATCTACACAATTTTCTACGTCGTACACTGCGGAAGTAGTTTTCTCATACTTGAAGAGAACAGAATGAGATTAAAAGTTACAGCAAACATGTATATTCTTAGAAACAACCCAACCAAAAAGAAAGCTTACAGCCAAATTTTTGGACCATCTGCTGCCAGGGCAAAAGACTTCGTCAGGTGACTGTGATATTACTATACTGTCATTTCTGAATCCATCTTATAGGCCCATCTGCATTTTAATTTTTTCCCTCTGAAACTACTTTAATTTTCCACAAAAGATGAATCAAATCTGCAGTCTCTGAAAGTGAACACCTTGAAGTCAATAAAACAAGCTTAAAGACAAGGCCATTTGAGTGAGAACCTTTCAGGAAAAAGATAACTTGTCTGTGACAGTTAATCATAGGGTAAGATAATGAAAAAGGCACATTTAATTAGTTGCCCCATTGCATGCTTCCTGAGTGGGAGGTGAGCTTGCTTTAAAATAAAATACATTTGATACTAATAAGTCTAAAATATATTTTTCATGCCTCAGTTTTTTAGTTGTATCACTGCATTCATGTTGAAATCTGCATGGTAACCAATAATGCTAATGATATGAAGATAAAAATCACAACAAAACAAGATTCAGTGAACATGTATTTGGCACTTTGAAGTGTCATGCGCATTGTGTTGACTCATTGATCCTCACACTAACCTCCTGGGGAAGGTGCTGAAAGTGAAGCAGAGAGAGGCTAAGTAACCTGCAGGCAGCTGCAGGGCTGGGATTCAGACCCACGCGAGCTGGAGTCAGAGGCTGGTTCTTAACCACTACTTCTCAGTAAGAAAATATGGGGTAAAGCGCTCTAAGTTGGGGCTGAGGGGTTGGGTGGGGAAGAGAAATCTGCCATCTCAATGCCACTGATTGCATGCATTAGAGTTCAGGACAGATAGAAGCTACCAGTCCAAACTCAAGAGACTTAAATCCCAATAGATAGAGTAAGGGTAACTAAGTGATAGCAGTATCATTATTACATTTTGCTAGACGT